CAATAATAATCCGAATCCCAATGGCCTATCATGGATTGGAAGCATGCGATCCGGGCCTTGATCTTGAGCAAATAAGTTATGTCACCATATGTCTTCCGGAAATCAAGTTGGTCCTTGGAAGTGAGCATCTCCCAATAACCGAGAAGCGGACCAGTGTTGGCCATCCCGTCGGCCAATTTAACCTTTTCTAGTAGTCTCGATACGAAATTCGAGGGCGTAAAATCTGTTTCCTCATTTTGGGCCCACTCAAATTTGATCTTAAAATCCTCGATCTCATTTCGATTTCTTCGTCATGATTTAATATGAAGGATAACTCTGTAAAACTAAGGGTTAATATCACCATCATTTGATAATAATTTATGTCTTAATTAGGTCAACCCTAATATATAGGATCTAGCTTTTCTATGGTTGGGCAAAGCTTGACTAATCCTAAAGATTTTTCAAGCCTCTAGATCGCCTAAATTACCGATAAGGTAATCCAGCCTCTAACCTTATACACTAGGAGGTAGGGAAGGTCATTCCACTATTTCTAATGTATAGGGTGAGTTTCGATCTAAACGTCTTGATTAAAAGGTGATTTTTGATTACGTCAGTCTATCAAGTAGGAGACTTCGTCGAAAATCTTGAATATTCTTTTTGGTGACGTCGGTCCCTATGACATAGGAGACTTCGTCAATTTATTTATTTATTATTATTATTTTGGTGGCGTCAATCCTTACCAAATAGGAGGCTTCGTCAAAATTTTTAGGCATTTTTTTATGACGTCGATCCCTATCGGATAGGAGACTTCGTCAAGATTTTTTATAATTTTTCTAGAAATACATATTAAAGAAAAGAAAATAAAATAAAATTCTAAATTAATATAAAAAAAGACAAGGAATAAAAATAAACGAAGCTAAAAAATAAATAAATAATAAGAAGAAAAGATAGATGAATAAAAAATCATCCTATACCTAAACCATTAACCATCGACTTATTTTTTCTACCCATCCCCTTTTTCCTTTTTCCTTCTTATTTTTTTTCTTCCCTAATTCTATTTTTTATTTTGTTTGTTACCTTTTTTTTTTTTTTTTGAGAGAAGGTTGGAATGGAACCAGCCTTCTCGTTTTTTTTTTTTTTTGGGTTTTTTGAAGGGTGGGCTATGGGCTGGACCCCTTTCGTGTTTTTTTTTTTTTTTAATTTTGTTTGGACAAAGAATGCGGGCTGGACTCGAACTTAGTCCAACCACCTTTTCCCTTGTTTTTTTTTTTTTTGTCTCGCAACGGGCTAGGTTGGGTTGAAATCGATCCAACCCCTTTTGTTTTTCTTTTCTAAAACCCCTACAAACCCACTTCCAAATTTCAGCCCAGCCCCTTTTTTTTTCTTTTCTAAAACCCCTACAAACCCACTTCCAAATTCATTCTCTCTTTTCTCGTTCCTTTTTCTTTTGTTTTTCTCTTCCCTTCTTCTCTAGATTTTGCAAGAACGAAGTCACCTTTTGAATCAAGGGGCAATTGATTAAAACACTTTTATTCCCTCCACTTAAAAGAATTAAAATGTAAAGTTTAAATAACATAAAGAATTTAAATTAAAGATGAAAATGACCGACCCGAGCTTCGAAACTCATGGCCGTGGATGTGCGAATTGGATCGATACTTGGGTTTTGGAATGATCTCTCGCCTTGTCTTGATCCCGAATGACAAATTGATTGTGGTATTGGTGTTTGATGCTTTCTTGCTTGCGAGGTTGACGAAAGGAATGAAAATGGCTTTGGTTGTGATGATCCTTGAATTGGGAGTTATGGAAATGGGTTGATAGAAAATTAATGGCGTCCGAGGATTTAGAACAAACTTGAATGGATTGTGTTTTGGGTTTAGAAGGATGAACAATATCGAAATAAAGAAAATCGAGAAAACCCAAGAATTTAGGAATTGTTAAAACTCGAAAACGCAAGAACACAAAACCTAGAAATTCATCCTAAACCTAGAAATTCAAGCGCCTACCCGGAAAAATTAGTGGACGAAATCCCAAAAAACTAATTAAAACCTCAAAACCGAAATTGAAATGAACAAACTCGTGCAAATCTAACTTGAACCTAGAAAAAATCAAGCAATGAAGTGAAATTGCAAATGCGAAATGAAGAACACGAAGAACATTCAAACTGGAAACCCGTAAAACCCGGAAAATTGAAGCAATTGTCTCTTCCAAAACCTTTCGATCTTTTTTTTGTTTTTTAACCGGAATCCTCTCGTCTCTAATTCTTTCTCCTCCAATTTTTTTCTCTCGTGAAATTAAACCCGTTTTATAGCCAAAAACTTCTTAGAATCGAATCTAAATCCCGAATTTTTCCGTCAAAATATTTCCTCTTTAATTCATGATTAATGTGAAATTAAAACAAAAAATTTGGTCATTACTTATCGTTAGTGTTGATTTTGGCAACGAATCCATGATTAATGCACAATCAAAACAAGAAATTTGTGGAGGATTTGGGCGATTCTCCCAAAGATTTTCGAGAGAATTTGCATTGGAGTGGACGACTGGTCATCTTCTCCATTTCGGTCATGTCGTTCGCTCTAAACTTTCGATTTGATCCTCGTGCACTTCAAGTCCAACGATCACGCCCTTCATTGGTACAATTTTAGTCTTTATAAAATGCAATCTTATCAATTGGATCCTCGTAAGAAGTAATTTAGGTTATAAATTTTTCAATTGGTTTAATTATACCGCTAATTACTTCAATTATATCTTTCTTTAAATGCAATTGTGCCCCCGAATAAATGTTTTTGTGTTTTTTTTTATCATTTTTTTTTGTTAAACTTCAATTGAAATAAAACAAAACATAAATGAAATAATAAAAAATAAAAATAAAAATAAAAAAATAAAAAATAAAAATAACATAAATAAAAATAAAATAAAAAGGTAAATTTGGGTTATTACATGGTTGATCCAATTTTTTTAAAAATTTGAGATTACACAATAAATGTAGTTTTCTTCCGTTACATATATAATAATTAAATAAATTGGAATTATTAAAATTAAAATTTAATTCATTAAAAAAATGTAGCACGTATATTTGCATAATTCTTTTACCATACATAAAAACTATATATTTATTTTTTTCTTTTTTACAAGCAACTCTCATCATTTAAAATCTTTAACTGGAGCAAAAATATGTAAGGAAAAAAATAATAAAACGGGATTAAAACTTGTTATTAAGCAAGAACTATAATATAACATAAGAAACCAAACTTTCAAATGAAATCCCATATAATAATGAAAACCTTACTGAGTAATGAAAACTTAATTAATAATCGTTTGGTATCATTTGCAATTGTCATTTTCAGTTTTTAAATTTTTAGAAATAATAGAGATTAAAAATTGTTTGTTTTCAATATTTTGGTGAAACAAAACAAAAACAACAACCAGTAACATAATTTTTGAAAGCCCTTTGTTTGATTTTAAAAAATTATGGCAATTGGTTTTTGGTTTTTTACGGTTTTGAAAATAATAAAAAAAAGTTTTTTGTTTTTGTTTTCAAATTTATTTTTTAAAATAGAAAATAATAAACCAACAAGATCTTAATAAAACATTTGTAATTTTATTTAGGATCAATTTTTAGCCTTTTATGATGCATCTGTTGAGAGCGTGCGTGGTATACGTTCATGTCAGTATAAGTTAGAAGTAAATTATTGAGAGGGATTGATGTGCAAAATCAAAGAAAGCTAGGAGAGAAACGAGCAAAATTTTAAAACCCAAGAACCAAATCATGAAATGTTGTATAGATCCAAAGTTAATTTTAATCGGATTTATCTAAATTTGATTCTTGTATTTTTCTAATTTTTTTATTATTGAAGGTTACACCACTCTTTTTTTGTATTTCATACTCCTTTCTGATATCATTCTCTTAGAATAATTCTTTTATTTTTAAAATTATATAATTAAATAAATAAGATAACAAAAAAAACAAGTGAAAATTAATTTACTTTAATTAATTAGGTTCATTTAGGTTATTATTTTCTTAATTTTATTTCTTTTAATAATTTAATTTCACCAAAAATTAGAAAATTTTTAAAATAAAAGAGTTATTGTAGTATGGGATGTCAAGAATTCAACTCAGACAAACAGGTGTCACATAGACATACAAACTAACAATATTAAATAAAAATATCTATTCAATACAAAATGAAAAAAAAGAAAAGAGAAACTCAATTAATATTAAAAAAAAACTTAAGAAAAAAAAATTGGAAGAATACGAAATCTAACGGGCTAAAACTCAATTTCGATCCCTCGTAATAAATAATTTTGTAACTAAGCATATATAATTCTCCACATAAAATTGCAACACATTTCAAAAAGCTTAACATGTTTTTGACATTTCGTTGCTGGCATAAACCCAACGGAGAGGAGGGAAACATGCTTTTTTTCTTTTGTTTTGTGTCTTTTAATTTTTCTTTTCTTTAAAGGAAGAGTAAGTTATAAATTAATCTATTTTATTTTAAGAAATAAATAAATTAATTCCTCTAGTTTTAAAAACTAATCATTTAATTCTTTACGTTTTAATTCTATCAAAGGATTTAATCATTTCATCAGTTTTCATTAACTTTTTTTTCTCAAATTGTTTTTTTTTTAATGTCTTATTTTTCTCTTTCAATCACTCTCTCTCCCTTTTCTCAGCCAAAAATCAAAAGATTATGAAATTAAGATTGAGTTGGCAGTTCGTTTGTCCTATATTCTTGGAATCATGAGGGGCCACCATCAGACCATCACATTCCCACCGTCATTCTGAACTGCCAACAAATTAAGATTGAGTTTTGATTCTTGGACAAATTAAGATTGAGATTTGATTCTAGGAGAAGATAGATATCATGATCACGTCCTACAATTGTTTTGTACTTTAATCTATGCGCTAATATTTTTGGAAGGAAGCATCAGATTGCCACGCATTTGGGTTCTTTGTAGCTGGAATTCCAGGGTTTCTTCTCATATTTTCTTTATTTTGTAGGACTTGGACAGATGGACATTCAAACCGTGTGGAACACAACCTTTTGTTCTCTTTTTTTGTACACAGCACCGACATACATGAGCATTCTGACTCTGGATGAATTGCTGTAAATCTTGGCCAGATATATTGGAACTAACATGCATAAATGTGAATGATTCACTCGAGGTTTAGCCAGGCATGCTGCTTTAAAAGCTTTCGCAATTGAACTTTGTGAAGACATATCACCTTTCCCATCTTTAAGATCTCAAAATTTAAAAAGAAGAAAAGGGTGGAGGTTTTTCGTAATCACCTGGCCTTTTGCTTTTCATCTTATCAACATACTTCCTGTTATAGCTTCGTCTATAACCGCAGCTGCAGGGAGACACAGCTAAAATAGGAAGAAAGCTTTTCTTCTTATCGACATACTTCCTGTGATAGCTTCGCCTATAACCACAACTGCAGGGAGACACTACTACAATCGGAAGAAAGATGACATCATGTTATCAAGCATCCTGAAAAAAATATAAATCAACCGGAGGTTGCAATGGACCAGATCACTGATCAAAGAACGCAACATTTTGCCATAAATATAGAGAGATGAGAAAAAGGTGAAAAAACACCACATTGCTGCCGCAAAGTCAACAAGCGGAACATAAAATATACAATAGGATTGTCCCCATGGAAGTCCTCACAATCTGTATACCTACGGGGAACATAAAGTATACAACAAAATACTGAGATAAAAATCTCTTCAAGATAGGGTAGCCGCTAGTTATTCTCACCCATGGAAGGAAACACACTCACAAACAGAGGAAGCAAACAAAATCACAGACCCCGATTTCTATTAAGAGATATGCCTAATTACAACTTCAACCATTCCAAGCAAGGACATAACCCCCAGCAAAACCTAGAAGGATAGTAGTCCTTTAAGTATACCTCCCTGCTAAAACCAATAATATAAAAACTGAACGAGCGACCACGATGAGCCATGGTGACACGTGTCACTGGCACAACAGATATGGCATGCCTCTCACATATGACCCTTGAAGTGGGAGGTACAGGAGCTCTCTCCGCAATAACTTCAGAAGAAAACTTGTTGAGAAAGAACGAGTCAGCAAAAAACGCTGGGCTGCATTGATATGCTTGAGTGTTGCACAACTGGACTCCTTTGGCTCTATGAAAAACCTCATCTGGAACTGATGCTGCTCCACTTGTTGCACTAACTTTGCGAGTTGAAAGTGTCTTCCTGTTGACGGCAGAGTTTGCACCATTATAAATGCAAATAATTTAAAGCAGATGGAAACAAATATAGAAGACACATACTGAAGCTATATATGTGCCACAGTAACAAAACCTTGATCTATCTCATGCCACCCATGGAAACTCCATACATTCTTTAACATAAGCATTTGTAAGATGACTGTAGGTAAAGTCTGTCACTACAGCATCGAAAAGGGTCACTAGTCACTGAATTGTAAAGCTCCAAAACATTTCAAACAACGTTGCTTAAGATATTTCTAATTATGGGGAAACACATTGGTAGAGATGATTTTATGGCATGAGATTGCTGATAATGGTTGTATTTCCATTTATAAGTAAAACATTTATTTGTCTATAAAACAAGGAAGAGATTGTTGCTGCATTGGTACTGTTGAAGATTATGGGTTTTAAACCTGAACTGATCGGAGATGAAACATAAATACAGTGACTAAAAATGAAGAAGTTAGCTTCCTCTTAAAACAAAGATGTGGAAGTTCAGACACAAGAATTTTCCATCCACATCAAAGTTTTAAGGGCAGCAGAGACAATTTTAGTTAGAAACGAACTGTATCTGTATGCAGAGTGTATATCAGCGCAGAATAGTACATACCATCTAACAATGGCAACATTGCCTGACAAAAGAGACCCACTTGCATTGCATTTCTTGCATTTTATCAGCCCACGAGATCCACATGTTGCGCAGGGAATCTTCCCCTTTCCAGAGCATTTTGAACATCTATAGAGAAAAAATTAGCAAGAGCAAAGCCAACAACCTTGTAAAACAAGATATTATTAGAAAATATGAAGTTAATAGCTATTACTTCCAGCACTAAGAGTTGATATCTGACTGAATATTACTTAGAAGTCAAAACTGACAATTTCTGCACTAGTTATTTGTGCAATGCAGTTCCTGGTCAACAATGTGCAACGAGAGTTTTTAAAAAGTTTGAACATGAGTCATGACCCATAGATTGGTTCCTTAAACTAACTATCAGAGAGATCAAGTGCAACATAACCTGATGGGGAGGGTGAAAACAGCTTACATTGTGTCAGATCCATCTCTATGAGCAATCAAACCCCTTCCATAACAGGTAGGGCAATCAGACATCTTATTCTCCTTATAAAATCCAGGCTCTTGGTTGGCATTGCATGTAGGACAAACAATATCTCCCCTCCCAGCACAATCTGCAAATGTTTTGCAAAGCTGTGTGAGAAGCGAGTGGTAATAACTGGAAATTTATAACACACACACCTGATGCCTCTTGCACGGCATGGATAGAAGGTTATCCAATTGGAAGACACAAAAATAAGATTAAAGGTGGTACAGGACAACAGGTACAGTAAATAACCAAGGTAAATTTAATTACAAACAGACTGAATCCATAATTTTATAGTATAAACACAAAACAGTCTTTCATTCCAGTATATTATTGTGCATACCTGTGCATTTCTCAACAATTTCAGAATGAGGAACTCTGGTCCGTGTTTCTTTTTGAGGTGTAAAGAGAACAGGGAACTGAGATCTTAGATCCAATTCCCAGACGCCAAGTTCAGGTGCAGTATCCTTTCCAGCAATATTCCCACCATGAAATGGTTCTGTTTCTCTAATAGTTTCCCTCTCCTCAATGAAAGTTTCTAGAGTTCCTATATAGACATTGCAGTCTTCCACGGTATGAATCTTCCAGGTCCGAGCAGGATGACTTCCCCAGCAGCAACGGTGGCCAACATGATCAATGAGCAACTCCCGAATCTCAACTTCATCCAATATTTGCCTGCAAAAATAAGATTTAATCATAAGTGAGATTAAACAACCAAGGCAAACATAAAATCAAACAGTCTTATTGATGAATGGATTGGCACAAAGTTGATTATATCTATACTGCATTACACATAACACGACAAATAAAGCTTTATAGACCAATTTTGTATCATGCAAACTTATTATTTAAACTCTGTGTCATAGCTTGCTAGTATTTTCAAAACACAGAAAAAGCCTCAATCTACAACATTAATTGTAAACCTACTTCAAGCCTATAAAAAGAAAGCATAAAAATTCCTTAAAGTGAAAAGGAAAAAAAAAAAGGGATAGAGAAGATTACAAGCTTAATCATGCAAGAAACCCCAAACCAGCAATCAATCAAGCCATATAATCAGTCCCCCCAAAAAAAAAACATAATATCAATTCAGGTAAAGGGTTTGTTTTACCTCTGAAATTCATTAACAGTTCCACCATAGTCACCTCCGCCATATCCACCTTGATAAACAATAGCTTGCTCTGCTCCCCAAAAAAAAAAAAGTCAATTATTAAGGGGAAAAAAACAATAATCCCTTCCATTATGCAGATAAATTTATGATCAAAATAACGATGAATGCATTTACTAACTCAAGGAATCAGCCCAAAAAGGAAAAAAGAAGACAGATATCATGCATTGCATAAATAGTCACAGCGAATTCCACATTACACAGAGACTCAACTGAATTCGCTGCATAAAACCTAGACTAGAATACCCCACGCCATCAACAGATTAAGAGAAATTGAGACTACCTATGTCCTCTCCACACACTAAACAACAGAAAACAGAGAGAAATCAATTATACCGTTAGGATTGGGGTCAGGTGAGGTGATCAAGGCGGCATGAATGGAAGGCGGGTAATAATCGGAAGAAGCAGCAGCTGACCGAATTTCCTCGACGCTTACTTCAGTTCCGGCCAATGAAGCGGTGGGTAATGCTGAACCCGTTCTACCCAAGTACTGATAGGAGCTCCATTTCTCGCTTTCTCCCAATTGACTCCTTTTCTCTTCTTTTTTTTTTTTTAAACAACACACAAATAAACATAAATCTTATTTCTTCATTGAAATGATCAAAATTCAAAAACTTCAGAGAAAATGGAATTGTTATTATTATTTGTACCTGAAAGCAGAGGTTCCTCCATGATTGTTATCGAGAGTGTGGAAATGGGAGATTACGAACTGCTACCTACTATTTATTTTTATTTATCTTAGTTAGTAAGGAACAAAACTGCATCAAATTATCAAAGTCAATCCTTCTTTGCATGACAATTCACATGGATAAACTCGACAAGGCGGGTCGGGCCCACAGATTGAGCGGGTTTTAATTTTGTACCGTTTCATTTCTTCCCTCTGATAAAAGGAAAAAAGAGTAAATACACAGACAAACAAAGATTATGCTCCTATCGTAGGTTAAAACAAAGGAAAATACCAAATTATATAGTGGTTACATGATGGGATGGATTTAAAGTAGTGGAAGATTGGCCCATGGGCGTGTCGACCTTTAAGTCAATTTGCAATGACTATCTGCTGCTGTATATATATATTTATTCGGTTTTATTGGTAGTAGCTTCTTGGTAGTTTTCACGAATTTAAACGAAGTATATTTCTAGTTTTGGAAATTTTCCCTCTCTCTCTCTCTCTTTTATTTTCTAGGTTCGAACCGTGAGATTAATATTTAGAAAAATTTATTAAATTTTCTTTACTTTATCAGATCGATATAAAGAATGTACAGTGAAAATCGTTCAAAAAAAAAAATCTTGATTTAGATGCAAACTGACCTAAGAATACATCTTATTGTGGAACAAAAAAAAAAAAAACTAAGTATAACTCTTTCAGCCCTGTTTTTTCACAAGATTATGGTCATGCCAAGATTCAAACAAGACAAGGACCATCCGTATTAAAACGGGTAGAAGGCAAGCTATGGCTTCTCCTGGATCTTCGTCAAAAATCATTGTCATGTTTCCGGTTTCCCTGTGATGAAGGCACAAGGCATCTTTAGATTTGGATGACAGAAATTCCAACAGGACTTAACAAAACATGCTCAAGAACTATATGCATATCCACTCCCTCCGGCTAAAAGGAACTTGACAATCCAAACCAATACAAATATGATGTAGCAGCCCACACTCATCCAAGCCATCACCATGTTAGCTACATCTAGCACAGACCCAAGCGAGTCCACCAACCACGGCCTGTTTTCTTTTCTCGAGTCCACGGATTCTGACTCAAACCAAAACATTTTAAAGGATGGGCTAACGTATCAATGTTCTTGATCAAATTAAATGGGGCCTAGAGAGATGGCAATTTTTCATCCCTATTAGGAGACGTTAGTTTTAAGCACAGTATATTTTATGATGAATCTATAAACTTAAGTTCGATTGCGATTTTGTTGTAAAATATTTTACAAAAAAATAATTTATTTATAATATTATCTAATTATTTTAATTAATATTATTTTATTATTATTATTATCACAATTATGACCGTCATCATTTTAGTATTGTTATTTTCATCATTTTTATTACTATCATTGTTATCTTACCACAATTATCTTATCACTCCATCATTTTCACTCTCATAACCTACCGTACAACTGTTTCCATCTCATTATCTCAATACACGACGATTATCTTCTATTATCATTATATTTTTTTACATTATTACTTAGAGCAAAACATCCTTAGCCTCTTTGACTCGGTGGACAAATAAAATTCTATTTTTTTTTTTTTTTTTGAGAAAGGTTTAATTAATTGTGCCACTATGTCACAACCTAAGTATGTACTATTGACAATATTATAATGGAACATAAGTCTTATTATTGGCAAATGACAAAGCACCGATAGCATGTGGACCATGTATGATGAGTGTAGTTTGACAAAGAGGTAGGGAGACATAAGATGCGTGACTGTGAGGTGATTGGTGGCATCAAGCCACGTTTTGAGTGCTATCAAGTGGTTGAAATCAGACAGCAAGGGCTCACGGTCACTAGAGGAGCTTCACCAACTCCAGCATTACTCCACAGTTTCTCCAAAAATACAAAACAAAAGCTAAACAACGCATGGCCCGTTCACATTAAAGTTTCCGAATAAGCAAAGCATATCTCTTCCTCGTGGCGCACTCAAGTCCAACGCCATTGCAATCACGAACAACAGTACCGAAAGGGTACACAATACGCTTTGCCCAAGTGTCTCAACCTAGCTAAACAAGTTTCTATTATTTTCAATATTTTTATTTTTTAAATTTACGAAAAAAATTTAGATGATGGTATTATTTTTTTATTATAATAAATTATTTTATAATTGGTCTCATATTTTTCACTATAAAAGAGTCTTTTAGGTAAATTTAGTGTTTTTATAATTAATATTTTTATGATTGATTTATTTTGTATTCTTAATTATTGTGTGTTTAATTTGATTATTTTTTTATAAAATTGAATTTATACAGATTGGAGATAATTCCCAACAAGTTTAGGCAAAATAGGAGCCATGACAAAATAATACATCTACACACAACTTGAAATTGTTGAAAGAAATATGAAATCAAATACGAGACAAATTTGACTAATCTAAAAATACTAAGACATAACTTATTTTAAAGAAATTAATTATCGAACCATTCAAATTGTAAAGCATCAATGTTATGATTGTCTTACACATGAAGGTTCAGCCTCGAAATGGATCTCTTTGTCCTAAACACCCATTCTTAAACTTTTCCTGATCAATTAAAAAAAAATATAAAAAAATATGAGTAAATTATAAATTAATCTCTTTGTTTTCAAATAACGAATTAATTAATTTTTATCAAATATTAAATATTTAATTTTTGATTAGTATTGATCATATTTGATTTAATATTATTTTATTTTGAAAAATATTGTTTTCTCATCAATTTTTTATATTTTATATTTTTTAAAAATAATTAAAAAAATTAAAAGAAATGATAATGATTAAATTATATTAAAATCTAAAAATATCGAAATTAAATAATTATTTTTTGAAAAAAAAACGTTAAGTAATTCCTTTCTCAAAACTAGAAGGATTAATTTATAATTAACTCAGAAAAAACAAGAGACAATACGATAACGTGTCGGTATTCGCGATTAAAGAAAAAAAAGGGTTGAAAACTACAGAAAAGGAAAGAGGTGTGTTGCGTGTTCCCATTTATGGTTTCCTCACCCGTGGCCCCACCTCACAAGGAGAATTTCAGAGTTCGTTTCCACACTCTCACCCTCTGCAGTGCGCTCTCTGCATATATCTATCTGATTCTGCAATGCTATCTTTCTGCTAATCACAGCAGAACTGAATATATCTATCTATCTTGTCTCGTGCCTGACAGCCATCACTTCCGGTAAGTTATTTTCATTTCTTTTTTGAATCATAAGTTGCTTTAATTATGCAATGCAGTTATTGCATGTTCTATTTAAACTTTCCTTCTTTTTTTTTTTAGGGAAAATTTGCATTAAAAACACTATTAGATGATTGTGATTTTGTTTAATTTCCGCATGATTTTTTTTTTAGAAATTATTGTTTAAATTGTCAGCTTAGATGGTCGTGATTTTATTTATTTAATCTTTTCATGGTTTCTTTAGCAATTATTTACATTAAACGGAAGGAAAATGTTGTTTAAATGGTCGTGATTTTATTTTTTTCATTTTTTTTTACCAATTACTTACATTAAATGGAAGGAAATGTTGCTCAAATGGTCTTGATTTTATTTTTTTAATTTTTTTCATGATTTTTATACCAATTATTTACATTAAATGGAAGGAAATGTTGTTTAGATGGTCGTGAAGTAATATTGAGTGTTATTTTCAGTTCCGAAACTGCATTTTTTTTTTTTGTTTTTGAAGGAAAAAAACTCATATGGTTTATCTATATCTTTGGTGAAGGATGCAAATTGATTAACAGATATCTGATATTCGTCTCTCGGGGAGAACGGGATGGACATTTTTTCTAGAGCTAGTAGTCAGATATTGCAGCAATCTGCAGGCATTTGGTTCTTAATTATGTTGCTGCAGAATTTTAGAGGGAGTTTGTCAGCTTCCAATTACTTGGTTGGCCTAGGAAGCTATGATATAACAGGGCCTGCAGCTGATGTCAATATGATGGGGTACGCAAATATGGAACAGATTGCTTCTGGTGTTCACTTTAGGTTGCGAGCTCGTGCATTCATTGTGGCTGAACCTCAAGGGAACCGTGTTGTATATGTGAACCTTGATGCTTGTATGGCGTCGCAAATTGTTACTATTAAAGTTCTTGAGAGATTGAAAGCAAGGTAGATTGATAATAATGCCTTCTGTCTCTGACTTTTTTTTGTTTTTGAATTTTGAATTGCTAATCTACGCATAAAACTGAGTGATTCGTTCAACTATAAGTACAAATTTTGTAACAGAAACATGGGTTTGTGACTATTGATTGGTTCCATTGTTCATTTTTTTATGCCAAAAAATTTCAAATAAGCATTTTTGGTTGTAGATAATATTTTATTTCAAGGTGCTTCTGTAGGGTTTTTATCTTAGGCACTAGCTTTTTCTTGGGGTCACATGCGAGGTTGCTCACAGTGTTATTGCTGTCTGAAAAATTTCATACTACATCTTCTCTTTTTTCTTTTTAGGTATGGAGGGCTTTATACAGAGCAGAATGTCGCGATTAGTGGTATCCACACCCATGCTGGGCCTGGAGGCTATCTGCAGTATGTTGTATATATTGTAACATCACTTGGGTTCGTTCGCCAGTCTTTTGATGTTATTGTTGATGGTATCGAGAAAAGCATCATCCAAGCTCATGAAAATCTTCGGCCAGGGTCAATTTTTGTAAATAAAGGTTAGTAGGATGACTTAAATACTCTTTGTTGCATTGCTGGTTGACCATAGCTGCTTCAAGTTCTTCACTGATTTTCTTGCCATCAAGATCTATATTACTAGCACAATGTCATATGGCAGAAAAGAAGAAACAGAAATATCAGACAATGATGATAGATTTATGAAGCTTTCTGTTTTTTCATATTCTCGTTATTTCTATACCAAACAGAATAGCGATTCTCAAGTGAACACTGAATTTGTACTGAAGTTTGTGTGCCACTTTTTGTTCAGAGGCATATAGTAATTCCATCTGAATTTTTTTTTGCCACTTTGGATCATCTC